AGGGGCGGGCATCGGCTTTTTTTATCTTCGGCCGTAATGGGCCCCATTGAAGTGCCGTCTTTTGCAAACAACCAGCTGATAACCCAGCGGAGGCTAATCAGGGAAAACAAACGGTGCGATAAAACCCTTTGCCTTTGGGGAGGGGGGGGGGCTTTCCACGCCTGGAATTCCCAGGTACTACCTCCCCCATCAGGCACGGCTCCATTCCCACTCTCTCGCCCCGTGGCCTGTGCCCTGTGGGACGTGGAGCAGAGGCAGCTGGCAGAGGAGGCTTCTAGATGGACAGCCGAGAACCATGGGAGCGTGGCCACAGCTAAGGAGCGCCAGATGTTGGGGGAACCACTGGAAAAAGTGAAATGGGGGGGGGTGCAAAAGTGTCCCAGCCAATTTCAGTTTGGTCGGATTCCCAAATTAGCAGTTCTGGGCATCCCGATGGAAGGATGGTTGATTGGGGAATTCTGGGAGTTGAAGTCCACCCATCTTAAAGTATGTTGATTGGGGAATTATGGGAGTTGAAGACCATCCATCTTAAACATGCCAACATTGACAGACACTATGATCTCTGCATGGCGCCCTTTCTATGCCCCTTCTGGTATCTTTTTGCCCATGTTTCAGAGTGCCCCACCGCTAAGATTCCAGCCGGGTCCGACTCCCCAGGCCCGTGAAAGGGGGAAATCACTTGTCTGGACTGCTGAGACATTTTGTAGGCATTATCTTTATTAAGATAATAAAGCAGACCCTCGGGGGACTTGGATGCCCCGGACAGCAACTTGGGGAGTGCCTGTTGATCTGGGTGGAGTCAGGGAGGAGGTCCCCTCACTCGTCTCCCAATTCAGCCGGCTCTGGAGATCAGGGTGGGGGAGAGCCTGGGCTGACCGAGGTGGGAGGGGATGGATGAGGGGGAGGCTCTTCTGGTGGGTCGGGGCCTCACAAGCCAGGGAAGCCTGAAAGAGAGAAGGGCGCACCAGTCAGAGCAGCCCCGGTGGGTGCCGGTGGGTGCCAGCTGCCGGGTGCCCAGATGGCGCAGGGGCTCACCTGTGGTGGAGATGATGGAGACGTGGTCTTCCTCCAGCTTCATCTGGTACCCGCTGAAAAGACACGGAGGCCCAGTGAGTCTGGGGGCCACGGGGGTCTGAAGCCCACCTGGGAGGCCTCCCGCGGCCACAAAGGCTGCGCCAGCTGAGCCCTGGCTCTGCTTCGTAGTGCCCAGGAGGCTCCTCCCATGCCCTGCGGGCGCCTCTCTCACGATGCCCGGGGCAAGGCCGGTCTGAGGCGGAAACAGGGCGGGCGCCTGGTGCTTTGGGTCCTGGGCAGCCGATTCAACGCCACCCTCCGACGGGGAGGCCTCCAGGCAGGGGAGGAGGGGAAGCCTGGCGAGGAAGAGGAGGGGGCTGGGGGCTGGCAGCGGGTGGGTGAGATGAGAGGCAGCTTGTGGGTCAGACCCTGCAGGGAAGCCCCAAGGGCTCGCAGGGGGCTCAGCTGGCGGCAGGCTGCCAAGCGTTTCCCTTGGGCGGTTAGCCAAACTAGGTAACGGGGCAACTGATGATGTTACCTAGTTGGGTCATGAAACGTCTGGAACAACCTAGCTCAGAAACCACCAGGGATCCCACAGTTTATTTCTTCTTCCTCCTCCTCCTCCCTCCTTTTCCTCCTCCTCCTCTTCCTCCTCCTCTTCTCTCTTCTCTTCCTCCTCTTCTCTCTTCTCTTCCTCTTCCTCCTCTTCCTCTCCTCCTCTCCACTTCTCTTCCTCCCCCTCTTCCTCCATCTCCCCCTCTTCCGCCTATCCTCTTCCTCCTCCTCCTCCTCCTCTGCCTCCTCCTCCTCTCCTCCTTCTCCTTTCCTCTTCTCTTCCTCTTCCTCCTCTTCCTCTCCTCTTCCTCCTCCTCTTCCTCCATCTCCCCCTCTTCCGCCTCTCCTCCTCTTCCTCCTCCTCTCCTCCTTTTCCTCCTCCCTTCTAGCACTGATGATGTTGGGTCACAAAACATCTGCCACCCCCCCACCAGCTCAGAGACCCCCAAAGACCCCTCCTTTCAACCCTGAGCTACCCATATTCCCCTTTCCTGGTAAAACATTTCTCTTGTCCCCCAGTCTCACGCACATCCTGCCTTTCTGCCATCACCGTTCTCATTATCCTTCCCCCCCAAAAAAACTATCGCTGGGGTGGTGGTGGGGGCCAACGCTCAACCCAGACTGGGGCCCCTTCCTTACTGGTTCCGGTGCCGACAGACGCAGAGGACGATCAGGGTCAGGAGGAGGATGACGGCCAGGGGGATGAAGACGCTCAGCAGGATGGTCAGCAAGTCGGGTCCCGGGGGGCTCCCTGTGGGAAGAGCAAAGAAGGGAGCAGGGGAGGGAGTGAAGGGCCAGAAGGCCCCAGCCTGGGGGGTGGGAGGGAGAAGAGCGGGGGGCCTGCCTACCTGTCGTCTGGCTGACATCTGGCAGGGTCCGGGTGGTGCTGAGCGTGGTGGTTTTGGGGGGCGCTGGGGTCGAACTCTCAAATGGGGAGTCCTCGCAGAGGGGTCCGATGTAGCCCTCGACGCAGGCGCACTTGAAGCCCTCCGGGGTGACCTGGCACTTCCCCTCGTTCTGGCAGGGGTTGCTGACACAGGCGTTGTCTGCGGAGGAAGGGACGGGAGAGATGTGGCTCAAATGGGGGGGGGGCGCCCACCGTGGCGAGAGGCGAGGAACCATCCGCGGTGACGCAGTGCAGGAAACCCGCGCGGGCTCCCCTCCCTGGCCCGCTCACCTCGGAAGCAGCCGCGGATGAAGTCGGAGACGGCGCAGATCTCCCCAGGGCCGCAGCCGACTGGGAAACACTCCAGGAGGTCCGTGGCCCGGCAGGTGCAGCGCTTTGAGCAGTCCTCCGTCACGAAGGTCTCGTTGATCTGGGGAGAAGGGGGCTCAGTGCCACGGCGGGAAATCCTCTGCCCACCACCAGGCGCCCTCTCCTCGCCAAAGGGCACGGCGGCCGACAACACCCATCACCCACCGCTCGGCCGCCCTCTCGTCCCCGCTCTTTCTCTGGGTCCCCCAGGCCAGCCACCCTGCTCAGTGGGTCAAGTCTGGCAGGGCCTCCTTAAAGCCCCCTCCCCACTTCACCCACTTCCCATGTGGCTTGGTGAGTTCAGTTGGGCAGCCCCTGGAACCGGTGGTGAAATTCACATTACTTTACTAGCAGCTCTGTGGGCGTGGCTTGGGGTGGCTTGGTGGGTGTGGCTTGGTAGGCATGGCAGGGGAAGGGAACTGCAAAATCCCCCTCTCTTCCCGATCAGCTGGGGCTCGGGAGGCCGAGAGTAGATGGGGGCGCGGCCAGCCAGAGGTGGCATTTGCCGGTTCTCTGAACTACTCAAAATTTCCGCTACCGGTTCTCCAGAACCGGTCAGAACCTGCTGGATTTCACCCCTGACCGGAACAATCTCTACCCCAAATCTTTGATTGACTGACTCAAGATTGGCTCCCGGTTGGAAGAGAAATTTGAGAAGGTGCCAGAAGGAGTCATTTTCCCCAGCCCCAAATGGAAGGGAGGGGGAAACAGAGGGAGATGGGAGGGGAGAGAGTGAGAGGGAGGGAGAAAGAGTGAAAGAGAGAGAAAAGGAAGGAAGGAAGGAGGAGATAGGTTGATGGATGGATGGAAGGAAAAAGGGGAGGAAGGAAGGCACAGAAGAAGGGAAAGAGAGGGGGGAGGGAGGGAGGGGGGAACAGACATCAGAGATGGGGGGGAGAGTGAAAGAGAAGAAAGAAGAAAGGAGGAGATAGTGGAGGAAGGAAGGAACAGAGAGAGAGAGAAAAAGAAAGGGGAGAAAGAAAAGGAAGAGATAGGTTGAAGGAAGGAAGGAAGGAAGGAAGGAGGAGATAGGTTGAAGGATGGATGGATGGAAGGAAAAAGGGAAGGAAGGAAGGCACAGAAGAAGGAAAAGAGAGAGGGAAGGGAGGGAGGGAGGAACAGACATCAGAGACGGGGGGGAGAGTGAAAGAGAAGAAAGAAGAAAGGAGGAGATAGTTTGGAGGAAGGAAGGAACGGAGAGAGAGAGAGAGAAAAAGAAAGGGGATAAAGAAAAGGAAGAGATAGGTTGAAGGAAGGAAGGAAGGAAGGAAGGAAGGAGGAGATAGGTTGAAGGATGGATGGATGGAAGGAAAAAGGGAAAGAAGGAAGGCACAGAAGAAGGAAAAGAGAGGGGGAAGGAAGGGGAGAGTGAAAGAGAAGAAAGAAGAAAGAAGGAGATAGTTTGGAGGAAGGAAGGAACAGAGAGAGAGAAAGAAAGAGAAGAAAGGGGAGAAAGAAAAGGAAGAGATAGGTTGAAGGAAGGAAGGAAGGAAGGAAGGAGAAAGAGGGAGCGAAGGAAGGAAGGGGGAGGAGGAAGGGGGCTCCCACCTGGTAATACTGGCCGTTGCTGGAGCAGCCGCACTGGCCGTAGGGCACGCTGACCAGCCCGCTGAGGNTCTATCTATCACTCTCTCTGTCTATTTATATATCAATCACTCTATGTCTGTCTGTCTGTCTGTCTATCTATCTATCTATCTATCTATCTATCTATCTATCTATCTATCTATCTATCATCTCAAACACTCTTTCTCTCTCTCTAATTCTATCTATCTATCCATCCATCCATCCATCCATCCATCCATCCATCTATCTATCTGTCCCAATGTCCCAAGGTCTCTAGATAATTTGCCGTAAAACAGGGGAAATTTCCATTGAAAATAAGAACGGGGACAGTGAAACCACATAAAGCCCACTCTGGAAACAGGGAGGGAGCCGGGGGGGGGTCACCCTCCCACCTGTGCAGGTGAAAAGACAATGGAGTCAAGGCTGCAACTGAGCAAGGACTGACAGCTACAGATTTGGGGTCCGTCTGTCTGCCTGTCTGTCTGTCTGTGGGGCTGCCTGGCCACCCTGGGAGAGCTATGAGCCTTCCAGATCCACAGCTGCGTGACGGGGGGGGGCTCTCTCCAGTGAACCCCCTTTTCCTCGCCTGGCGCCTCCCCCTCCGGCCACCTCTGGCTCCCTGCTATCTCTGGGCCAGGAAAACCGCAATGCCACAGGTGTCCAATTGCTTCAGGATAACAAACTGCGATAACCCCGGGACCTTGGAGGAGGTTGCAGTGGGCGGGCGGGCGGGAGTGCCGCCCAGGGGTTGCGGCAGGGCAGAGGGAGGCTGCTGGGCGATGGGGGTGGAGCGGGGGGGTTAAAAGCCCCCTCCCCAAGCAGAGCCAGCCCAGAATGAGACCTTTTGCGAGCCAGCTGGCCTTTCGTGCTTGCATAACAAAGACCTCAGCCTCCGTCACTTGGTCGCTCTAAGGGTGGGTGGAGGCCTTTTGTGTGCCCCCCCCCTCCCGGTGCTGGGAATGGACACAGGACGGTGCTGAGGCCAGGATACACAACGGCTGTGAATGGACACTTGGACCCTCGGAATCTATGGGACCTGGCGGCTGCCCATTCCAGGCTGACCGATAGGACAGGTCACCTCAAAGAAAGCTGGCAGCTCTTAGCATTTTTTAAAATTATATATTTATTTGCATTCCAGATTCTTTTACGATTTTTAGAAGGAGCGAGCTACACAAAACTCCTTTCTAACTGCTTTTCCCACAGCAACAACAGCCCTGCGAGGCGGATTGGGCGAAGAGAGAGGGACTGGCCAGCTTTCGTGCCCAAGGCAGGACTAGAACTCGCCGTCTCCTGGTGATTGGCCCGAGGTCCACCCGGCTGCCTTTCATGGCTAAGGCGGAACTGGAACTCACTGTCTCCTAGTGATTGGCCCAAGGCCACCCAGTTGGCTTCCATGCAGGAGTCAGGACTGGAACTCCCAGCCTTCAGGCGAAGAGGCCAGAAAGCCTCTTTCCTGCCATGGAGCCAAAACCCCAAGTGGGCTGCCGGGGGGTGGGGGGCAGGCTGTGGGTCCCTGCACAGGGGGGTTCCCAGCCATGGGGAAGGGGCTCCCTTTGGGGTCCTCAGTGCTTGGAGGGAGGGACGCCTGGCTGGGCTCCTTCCCCCAGAGCCTGGAGGGGAGGTGAATTTGGGGGTGGCCATCCTGAATTCGAAGCTTAATCCAAACTTGGCTCTCTTCAGGAAGGGCCCTCCAGCTGGTGCTCCCCCTGGGAACTCCCTTCCCCCCCCCACATCACAGGGTTGGTGTGATCTGGGCACAGCCGTGGCACAGCCAGAGTCCCACACCTGATGGGGCAGAGGAAAGGGGCGGGCATCGGCTTTCTTAATCTCCGGCCGTAATGGCCCCATTGAAGTGCCGTCTTTTGCAAACAACCAGCTGATAACCCAGCGGAGGCTAATCAGGGAAAACAAACGGTGCGATAAAACCCTTTGCCTTTGGGGAGGGGGGGGGGCTTTCCACGCCTGGAATTCCCAGGTACTACCTCCCCCATCAGGCACGGCTCCATTCCCACTCTCTCGCCCCGTGGCCTGTGCCCTGTGGGACGTGGAGCAGAGGCAGCTGGCAGAGGAGGCTTCTAGATGGACAGCCGAGAACCATGGGAGCGTGGCCACAGCTAAGGAGCGCCAGATGTTGGGGGAACCACTGGAAAAAGTGAAATGGGGGGGGGTGCAAAAGTGTCCCAGCCAATTTCAGTTTGGTCGGATTCCCAAATTAGCAGTTCTGGGCATCCCGATGGAAGGATGGTTGATTGGGGAATTCTGGGAGTTGAAGTCCACCCATCTTAAAGTATGTTGATTGGGGAATTATGGGAGTTGAAGACCATCCATCTTAAACATGCCAACATTGACAGACACTATGATCTCTGCATGGCGCCCTTTCTATGCCCCTTCTGGCATCTTTTTGCCCATGTTTCAGAGTGCCCCACCGCTAAGATTCCAGCCGGGTCCGACTCCCCAGGCCCGTGAAAGGGGGAAATCACTTGTCTGGACTGCTGAGACATTTTGTAGGCATTATCTTTATTAAGATAATAAAGCAGACCCTCGGGGGACTTGGATGCCCCGGACAGCAACTTGGGGAGTGCCTGTTGATCTGGGTGGAGTCAGGGAGGAGGTCCCCTCACTCGTCTCCCAATTCAGCCGGCTCTGGAGATCAGGGTGGGGGAGAGCCTGGGCTGACCGAGGTGGGAGGGGATGGATGAGGGGGAGGCTCTTCTGGTGGGTCGGGGCCTCACAAGCCAGGGAAGCCTGAAAGAGAGAAGGGCGCACCAGTCAGAGCAGCCCCGGTGGGTGCCGGTGGGTGCCAGCTGCCGGGTGCCCAGATGGCGCAGGGGCTCACCTGTGGTGGAGATGATGGAGACGTGGTCTTCCTCCAGCTTCATCTGGTACCCGCTGAAAAGACACGGAGGCCCAGTGAGTCTGGGGGCCACGGGGGTCTGAAGCCCACCTGGGAGGCCTCCCGCGGCCACAAAGGCTGCGCCAGCTGAGCCCTGGCTCTGCTTCGTAGTGCCCAGGAGGCTCCTCCCATGCCCTGCGGGCGCCTCTCTCACGATGCCCGGGGCAAGGCCGGTCTGAGGCGGAAACAGGGCGGGCGCCTGGTGCTTTGGGTCCTGGGCAGCCGATTCAACGCCACCCTCCGACGGGGAGGCCTCCAGGCAGGGGAGGAGGGGAAGCCTGGCGAGGAAGAGGAGGGGGCTGGGGGCTGGCAGCGGGTGGGTGAGATGAGAGGCAGCTTGTGGGTCAGACCCTGCAGGGAAGCCCCAAGGGCTCGCAGGGGGCTCAGCTGGCGGCAGGCTGCCAAGCGTTTCCCTTGGGCGGTTAGCCAAACTAGGTAACGGGGCAACTGATGATGTTACCTAGTTGGGTCATGAAACGTCTGGAACAACCTAGCTCAGAAACCACCAGGGATCCCACAGTTTATTTCTTCTTCCTCCTCCTCCTCCCTCCTTTTCCTCCTCCTCCTCTTCCTCCTCCTCTTCTCTCTTCTCTTCCTCCTCTTCTCTCTTCTCTTCCTCTTCCTCCTCTTCCTCTCCTCCTCTCCACTTCTCTTCCTCCCCCTCTTCCTCCATCTCCCCCTCTTCCGCCTATCCTCT